TCCTCACTCCAGCTGCAGTTTGTGTCCCTGGTTGGTTTTTTCTCCCTTTCTTAAATATGTTATCCCAGAGGAACTACCACTGTTGCTGCTGTGGTCTTGGCCAGCGGCAAGTCCATCTTGGGGGCCAGCTGGCATTGGCTCTATCAGACACAGGGGAAGCTTCTAGCAGCTTCTCACAAAAGCCATCCCTGTAGCGCCCCCTGCTACCAAAACCTTGCCACGCAAACCCAATACAGAAAACTTTCTCTTTTAATCATCTCAGAGGGCTAAGTATTCTATGTGATTGGTGCCAACTAAATTGAAGTATTTTATATAAATATTTTAATGCTATTCAAACAATTTTGATATGTGAGTCTAAGCAAGAATATGTTGATATGTATTTTATTACTTATTTTGTTCCTACTATGGAACAAAGTGTAATTCCTTCCAATCTAGTCAAATTAAGTTAGTATGCTGATATCTTGGTGTTTGGCTTTGGATCTTTGGCTTTGGATTTGCCTTCTTCCTTTCTCCCTTTAGGATCTTAGTCAGGGTCGTCGCTTAATATGGTTCTCCGTTAAAGTGGTTTTTATCAAATCTTCAACAGTATTTATTTTTTCTTATCCAATGGTAGTTGGTCTAAGACTGTGATAACACAGTCACTTTAATTCCAAGTCTGCCTTGTTTCTGGGGTGTATCAGTCAAACACACATTGACTTGGTTTCTGCACACAAAAGCAAGTGCTAGCACAAGACAGGCAGTGACGCTGGGCAGCTTTGGCTGCAGGGGTTGGCCCCTTCCTTTTGGCCTGGCATAGAAGTTAAGGCATGTTAGAGAGGCTCATTAACTATGAGCTTAACTAAATATGAACCAGGCTGTCAAAGAACTGTTTCTTTTACATTGAATTTTTTTTTTTCTTCATAAATTTGTCCTATCTCTGGACACATCCATCCACTTCTGCTTTTAGAATAGGTGTTGGTTTTTTGTACTATGGGCTTTTTGTTTGGTTTGGTTTTTGTAACTGTTTTCACGGCTATCTTCTTTGGGACCCAAAACACTTGCAGGGCTCTATATGTGCTTGAGAGTTTCAAGCTCCTTGACGCTGGGCTCTGTGTGGATTTTAAAGGCACTAATATCCTTTTTTTGAGAAGGCAGAACTGTCCGACACCTAGAGGTAGGCATATTACATCAACATGCCTTACAGTTTCCTGCTATTACTACTTACTGACTCCCAGAATATAAAAATAAATCCCCGCTCTATAAAAGCTTACCATCTGATGAGTTTAAAGTCTTAAGGTGAATGTGCACACAGTATGTGAATTATTTGGGGAAATAAAAAGCTCTTTCTACTTTTGTAAAATAGTTGGTAACAATGGCAATGTAAAACCCAATAGGAATTTAAACATCACATAGAATATTAGAAGGAAAAAATCCTCCCTGGGAGATTAATTGTTACAGATCATCTGCCAATATCTTTGTGGACTCTTGAATATGGCTGGATACAACTTTACATTAGTAGAGGAGTTGAGATTTGAGATGTATTCTGGTATTGCTCACAGAAGGAAACTAAAGCTATATAAGGGTATTGTTAAATCTTGCGAGATGTACAATTACTACTTTAAACAAGCTGTTAAATTAGGATTAGATATATTGTATTATTACCATAGACCAGTCACAGTGGGAAATTACACAATGCTGAACAGCAGATGAGTTTTTATTTGGGAAAACAACTAAATCATTAAGTGTGCAAGTATGAAACACAATTTGTTAAAACCTATATAGAAGAATAGTTATACTCTGCTAGAGCTCTACAGACAACAGAGTGGGTCTTTTGGGACTGTTTGAAAGTTGATGGTTATTTTAAACAAAGGATTACTTTTTAATGGAATCAATACCATGTGAATGCTGAGATACCAGCTTCTACAATTCCCTTTCAAAAAGCCTTCAGAAGGGCAGGTCCTTCGAAGTGGCAGTCTGGATCTTATTTCTTGCTTAGTCTGTAAATGTGCTTGGAAGACGCTTTGGAACACTTCACTTACCCATTTGATACCATTGCTTGGTATGTCAGTTTCCCAGGGTATTATCTGTACAATCATTCACTGTTCCTCCAGAACGAACAAGCAGATCTCACTTATAATTACATACTTGGTTCGTGAAGCCACTTCAAATGTTCTCTCCTTTTGTAGTATGAATCAAACCCATTAATCTGATGGGATCATCATGAATGGCTTCTACGTGTGCCGTGTTTTCAGCAGCCAGCTGCTCACTGTTGAGGTAAATGCTAACTTTGGAAGCCATCATGGTGGGGTTAGATGATCTTTCTTCTTCACCCTCCTCTAATGAGGGGTCTGTCTTTCTCCTTGGTTTTCTGCGTTTTCCCTTGACGCTGTGATCAAGTGAGGCATAACACATCTGATTGGCAGACTCCACCTACAAGGAAATTCACTGTATATTTAACATTCGGAAGTTATGCTTGCTTTAAAATTGTGTCTAAGACTTTGAGTACATCTACACTGTAATCATAATAGTGGCTGAAGTTTACCCAAACTAGCTGTAAATGAGTGCATTAAAAGTACAAATGATTAAGCTGTGGCAGCACAAAAAACAGACCAACATAAACTAACGGCAAATGACTCATGTTCTTAGGATAGTGGCAGTAAAGAAAAATTCATCAAGGTATTATTGGAAGGATTCTCTATGGGAATGAGGGTAGCTTATATAAGCCATCCAAGTTCTTTGGGATGCAAGACATTATTTGATCTGTTTGTCTTCCCCCTTTTTTTTTTTTTTTAATTAGAATCCAGTTATTACCAGCAGCATTTTTCACAGGTTTTGTCTGTGCAGAAAACCAGAGATGGGTGATTCTTGTCTGTATATATAATCTCATTTCCAGTGCAAAATGTATACTTTGAATGTCTTTCCCCTGCCTCTCTCTGTGTTTTTCAAGCCAAATTGTCAAACACTTTTGACATTGGAATTTTCATAGATTATTCTGTTTCCATGAAGTTAATGATAACAAATGTCTAAATTAAAAAAAAGATATTTCTATCCCCTGGAAGTATCCTGAGAGAGGCTGGAAATCACTCCTTATGAAATACCTGGAAATCAACTCAGGAAATCGATGCTAGGAATACTTCAATTACAGACAAATTTCAGTTGAAGCTTGCATGCTTTTAGGCATCGAAGTATCTCAACAAAATAAAAAATCAATAGAAAAACAGTCATCTTTCATTTGTTAAGGCATATAGATTTTGTGCTGGGTAGGAGAGAGCCAGTCAAACTCATGATTATCATGTGATGCAGCTTGTGTTTTTACTTGGTTGATGTCCAAAATAAATAAAATTAATTCTTTACATAAGCCACAGCAGTAGACGCAGGCTTCATTCAGCCTGATCTGCATGCCTGTGACTGAGCTTTATCATGTCATATGGATGGAAATGAGCTGTCTATAATTCTGCTCCCTCATTAATGACCCAGATTGAATGAAAGGTCAAGTCTGTGCTTAAGTTCTCCAATGAACTGAGACACTAACGCATGGTAATTTTTGTGATGAGCAGTGTGAAGATTTTTGTTCTATATTGTCATGGGATAAACACAAGAACTCTGAGACAGACCACATTACCCTACTTCAGAAATCCAGAATTAAAATTAAAGATACCTGTAGTTGGTTAACTGGCCTTTGAAGCTGGGACTTCATCTGCTCGTAACAACATTCCTCTATAATTTATCAAAGTAGAAATATGTTTTAGTTGACACACTACTGAGTCTTAAAAGATCAGATCAACAGATCCTCCCTGGTACAGAACTAACTCCCCCCAGTTTACTTTGGTAGAAGTTTGTTTTGTTTCAAAATCACACACGTATTTCTTCCTCTATTTACAGGGGCACTGTCATGGTTTAGCCCCAGCCAGCAACTAAGCACCACGCAGCCGCTCGCTCACTCCCCGTACCCCGATGGGATGGGGGAGAGAATTGGAGGAGTAAGAGTGAGAAACACTCCTGGGTTGAGATAAGAACAGTTTAATAATTGAAATAAAGTAAAATAGTAGTAGTATTAATAACAATATAATAATAATAGTAATAACAATATACAAAGCAAGTGATGCACAATGCAATTGCTCACCACCCGCCGACCGATACCCAGACAGTTCCCAAGCAGCGATTGCTGCTCCCCGGCCAACCGCCCCCCCCAGTTTCTATACTGAGCATGACGTCATATGGTATGGAATAGCCCTTTGGTCAGTTTGGATCAACTCTTCTGGCTGTGCCCCCTCCCAGTTTCTTGTGCACCTGGCAGAGCATGGGAAGCTGAAAACATCCTTGGCTAGCATAAGCAGTACTTAGGAACAACTAAACCATCAGTGTGTTATCAGCATTCTTCTCATCCTAAATCCAAAACACAGCACTATGCCAGCTACTAGGAAGAAAATTAACTCTATCCCAGCCAAAACCAGGACAGGGCAATTAGCTGAGAAATCCAGACACACCTACTGTGAAAATGAAAAATCATTTTCTGTTCATATGGATGGGAAGTTTCTCATTATTCACTAAGTGGGCATCCTTTTAGACTGCTAGGAGGACATCTTGCAATTAGAGGGTAACCACATACTGATGTATTTTTCAGTATGGGCCATTTTTCCTTCTGCTGAGAAAGAGGCTGTGAGTTGCAGCAGCTGGTGATTAAATTCTATTCCTGACTCTACTTCCAGTTTTCTTTAAATTTGGTGCAAGTTATTTTCTCATTTTAGCCATCCTTCCTTACAGTTCTCAGGCTTTTGCCAATGCATTTGAGTGTTGGCTTAGTTAAATTTATGCAAAGCCTGTATGGAAAAGTTGGGTTTGTTTTTTTCCCCTGCAGTTCAAGTACTTTAGTTCAGGTTTGCTTAACCCCAAATAAGGCTAGCAAAAAAAGTTGTGTTCACGTTACTTAAATACTGCTTTAACACCATAAAGGCGTTGAGGGACATACCCTCAGCATATCTAGCTCTAGATGCAGTTGTATGATGTTACTGCCTTTAATGTGGTATCTCTCTGCCAAGGATTATTAACTTCAGCCCAGTAAAGCAGAGAAAAGCCATGTCTGCCCACCATTCAGCCACTGGGCTTGTTTCAGCATATTTGTCAACCTTGCTGATGATCTGTGGATAGCCACAGCAGAGAACTGGTATGTGTTTGTTTCTGCCAGCTTCTGTGGGAGCATTGACTTTGGTCAGTAATATGTGTCTTAGATTGCTTTAACATGCATGGATCAAGCTGTTATTTCAACTGGTGCAACTTTTCAAATAGAAAAGCTCTTGGTTTTGAAATATTTGGCTGAACAGGACCATTTGGACTGTAAAAAATCAAATTCAATATGAGAGCTGGTCTTATAAATAGTAGTGCAGTGTGATGGTTTGCAGTTCTATCCCAAGTAACTATTAATACAGCAATTGAAAAGGGGTAGATTCTCAAGTTTGCTATTTGAGAAACACAGAAAGTGTTGGTCAGTCAGCTTTTAACCATACATTTATTATAGCCTCTGAACAGACACGTGTTCTTAAAGTGAAGCTTACCTAAAATTTCTTGATTGAGATTGCCATAAACCGGGTCATCTTCTGTGTAATAGTCATCATAGCTAGAAGGGGAATGGAAAAATACTTTTAGTTCACAGAATATGCTTTATTTAGGACAACACTATTCTACTCTTAAACATTTTACACACATATAGCAATAGCAGATTGTATGTGATCTAAAAAATAAGACCAAAAATATTGGGGCGGGGCAAAAATACAAGTTTTGCAGAAAGGGAAGAAATGGCAATGTCCGTAACCTGAAGAGAGATTTGTTATCTAGCCAAGAATTGAACACTTCTTTCCTGTAACTTAACTTAGTTAAGTATAAAGCTAATCTCAAGACTACTAAGCTACTGTTTGATACAGTTCTAGAAATATTAATGATCACTGAAAGGAACCCAGTTCATGTCCTCTAATACCACTTTGCAATACAAACTAAAGCCCTAAATGAGTCTTTTGGGGAGGTGTTCTTAACAAGTCCACTCTTGCTTCAACTAAAATATGTATGTCAACACAACTAGAGAACACCAAAGCAAAGTTCAGCTTTGGATATTTAATGGTGTTCTATGTTTCATTACCTGTTGTTGCTTGAAAATGTTTTTAAGCATGCTTGTAAAGATGGGAATTGTTAGTGTGTAACCGTGTTCCTATTGCATCCCTATACTGTGCCTCATCAAGGGAATGAAGTAATGCGATCTAACACCAGTTTTTCCGTGGTATTTTTCAACTGAACAGGCAGTAATAGACAAACAAAGACTTCCCAAATTCAGGTAAATTTGTAATTGAGGATTGGTTTTGGGGAACAGGTGAAAGCTTTTGTATTTTTATTTCAAGGGCCCTTTATATTTGGGCTGAAATGAGACTGCTTCTATCTCTGTTTTCTAAAGTGTTTTTTTTTAAATATGGAATAAAAGAAACAGACTTGTAATAGATCATGAGCTATCCAGCAGCTGTAAACAGGCTCCATTTTATTGCTTTTGAATGTGATGTGTAAAAGGTTATGCAATATAAATACGTATAAATTATTGCTCCACAAGTATTAAATATCAGACTATAATTTATCATTGTTTTCTGAGAGTTCTTTTTAACTATTAGAGATTTCTTGAGTTTGAGTGATAATAAATAGTGTTTTAGCTCAATATCTTGCACTTCCTTCAGTATATAAAATTATCATATTAGCATGCAATTATTTCATTGTAGATAAAATGACTGGCATACATCTTTCCCATGTGATTTTTTTTTCCTCTTTTCTTTGGAATTTTTTTTTTTCCATAACAAACCTGCTTCCCAACATTTCCAGGCAGGCTGCATAAGATACTAGGTTTTCCTCTAAGCCTCCCTCCAAAGCCATCTTTACTATTTATTGCTTATTTCACCCTTGCCAGAAAGAAACTTTTTTTATCCAACTTACCTTGGACTGTTGTCTTCATAGTCTTTGTACATTTTAGCTGGAAAATTTGTTAAAAAAAAAGTGAAGAGAAAATGAAACATGCTATTTCAGAACACTTCAGATAATAACAACTGGCATGCTTTTGATTTCACTGTAGAGAGTAAAATTGAAAGCTCATGTCTCTCAGGACCTTCAGTTGTCCCCCTACTTTTCTCAAGTACTTTTGACTAATACAAGAAATGCTTGTGTTATGACTCTGTGCTGTGGCTTCAAAGTCTGTGTCCGTTTACAAGACCCCAAAAATGTATTGTAACACATGCGATTAATTCCTTGTTTCTTCCACCTTCTGCTTCTACCTCAGCTTTTTCTCTGCCTAGAGAGGTGCATCGTGTTTATATTACAAGGTGAAGGGTTCATTTATTTTGCTAGTCCTGTTGCTTGTATGTCTGAAAGAGACATATCCTGTGATCCACACAGATGAAGAACCTGAAGCAGGGAGGCAACAGCTACAAAGAGATTTGTTGCTAGAGCTTGATTAATAACTTTTTCTATCCTCTTTTCCAAGACTCTGGAATTTATCACAGTAAGCTCTGATTCCATGAACAGCATCAGCCAATCTGACCAAAACTTTGCTCAAGTATAGTTCTGTAAATAACTGATTTTTCATCATAGAAATATCTGCCTAGTTAGCACTAAAAGACAAAATGAAACAAAAAAAGGACCCCATCCCACAACACTCCAGCAGCTCTTTTAATATCCTGTAATAATCTAATTCTCTTATACTTGGTTTATAAGCATAGGCCTTGTCTTTATGTAGATTACATATGTATGTGTGTGTTTAATGTGATTGAATCCACCAGTGTTTGCCTGCCCACCCATACACGTATAGCACCTGTGTAAAGGCTGTTTTTCCCTGAATGGGAGTGGTGACGATTATACAACTTAATAACTATAGAATTGTATGCATAAGAGAGGTTGCACTGGTGTCGTGGTTTAGCCCCAGCCAGCAACTAAGCACCA